CCATCGGGAGGCCTGTCTGAGAGATTCGTTCAGGAGAGAAACACGAGTAGGTGAGAAGTTACGAAAACGAAATCTGATGTGCTCAGATAGGGAGAAAGATTTGTACGCACAATGTGAATAAACCTTAGGTCGAACTTAGAGTAGGCAGTGGTCACTGGAAGAAATAGAAGCTTTTAGTGCATATACGTTTCAACGTCCCAATTTTAGCCGTTTTGCAATCCAACGACCCCTTTCGTATTTCGCATCGAAATAAAACAACGATTAAAGGTAAATGAAAAATTAAGCTCGTAGAAACACATTCAGAGAAGTGGTTTCATTCTTATGATAGTTCAATATTTTCGTTATCCTCGTCTGTAATGAAAAATAGGAGCTATCTTCAGAGGCAATCTTAAACGGTTAACATTAAGAAATAGAAATGCTTGTTGAAAATGAAGTTTATTTCTTTTTGAAGCGTCCCCCTATGTTGTGACCTGCACTTCAGTCAAATGTTTACCGCACATCACATTATTGACTGTTGCGGCCTTCTACCGTACGCACGTCATGCGGACTTACCCTATTACAAGGTCGATTCACCTCAGTGAATCAGAGGTCAGTGTTGATCTGGTGGCATTGATTGGTTCGTTGACTGCTCAGCATGATGACACTTTCCTTTTGGTAAGGTTTGCTTCATTTCGGCCTGCCTGCATACCTGCATGCTGATGCACTGCTTGCTTACCGGCCTACGGACCGGCTACGTTTACATTAACTTACTGTAAATAGAATAACTATTTAATTCAACGCTTACGTACTTATCTGCTTCTACGGGATACAGTGCCCTGATAGCCTTTCTATCGCTTCCCTGTTTTGCTTTGGTCGTGATCTTCGAATCAGTCGCTATCAGCGTTTGCGCTGTTGTTTTGGCATAGCTTTTCCGTAGTACAGCGTCTGTAAGGCATCACATTCTAACATCAGTTTGATGTTGGGAGAAAAGGAGTTCAACTTTTGAAATGATGTCTTAACATCTGTTTAGTTGCACTCAATAGCTAGCTTGTCATCATCATACCGTCAATATAGCATGGCCGAACTCAGTTCCTCTTCCAGACTTTTTTCTAGTGTTGACAGAGAGATATCAACCAGAATTGGCCCAAAAAGGCTACCCATAGATACACTATCAACTATTTAAAGATATTTCCGTTGAAAACAAACTATAGATCGCGAACGCATAGATCCAGCAGGGTTTTTAAATCACTCACGAGGAAACCTAATTTCACTGGCAATTCATTAACTGTAGACGATGTAAACATGCCAGAGAAATAGGTTAAACGCCATCGCAATAAAGACAATCCCAAGTACACATTTTTACGGAACTATCAATGATTAGTTCAGTACGTATTTAACACATTAGAAATCTAGAAATAGTGTCGAAAACGATAGCTCAGCTTTGTCCGATTCTTTCAACAACTTTTTCTCACGTGACTATCGGTTCGAACTGTTCCAAGATCATCGATCGATCACGAGTGCCCTGCACTGTGAATGTCAGTGTGTTATTGAAAAGTATGCGAGAAATAGTCTACATTCAACTTGGTCAATGTGGAAATCAAATGGGTGCAAAAGTAGGTAGTTGATCATTTCCGGGGTGGTTGAAGTTGCCTTATGGATTCAGTTTTGGGAAGTGATTGCGGATGAGCACGGCCTGGGCTCGGATGGTCTGTATCGGGGAGACAGTGATCTGCAACTAGAACGTATCCACGTCTACTTTACGGAAGCAACTGGTAAGCTTGTCTGGGTTTTGGAGATTATCTCCGACAGTTTGTATACTCTACTCATTTAGCTAGCTGGTCTATTGTTTTATTTGAATTTATTTCCTGATCTCCCAATTTTTAGTGATCTCTTTGAGAGCAGGCTTTCGTTTCGCATGACGTTTTACGATAGTTTTGTTTCTGTTTATCTACCAAATGACTCGAGTGAATTTTCTTCGGGAAAACCAAACATCACTGTTCGAAACCCGGAAGGTTTATAAAACATTAAATTAATGTATGGTTTTCATTCTAGTCAATACACATACCCTTGCATTGTATTCTACTCCCGGATAAATAAAATCTACCGACTTTGATATATAAGTGATCGCTTGTTTAATCAGCCTGGGAAACAAATGAGGTGCTAAAAATAAATTGATCGATAAGTGAACTAAGATTACAGAGCATAATAAAATGGCGAGTTGTAAACTGACTACAGACGCTGTTCTGAGGTAACTGTCTGTAACTAATTTTTTGTTAGGACACATTTTTCAAAACAAATCGTGTTTACCGGATCATGTCACCAAACAAATTGCAATCTACCGCGGCACTACTTCTGATGAGTCATTTGGAAAAATGCAACGTGCTACCCTCTGCTCAACATGGGGTTCGTCGCATGCGATCGTGTACCGCTAACCTGCTACTGGTCCGAGAAGAATGGACAAAAGCGGTTGATCACGATGATGCAGTGAACGTCGTGTGCCTCGATTTCTCCAAAGCATTCCTTCGAGTGAACCACATAATACTGAGGAAACTACACAATTATGGAATTCGGGGATTTGTACTGCGTTCTTCGACAACGCACCATGACATTTCGGGTTTCTGAATCACTTTCTGATTCTATTAACTTAGTCCGAGAAGTTCCGCAGGGATCCGTGCCTTGCCCACAACTTTTTCTAGTTTTCATAAACGACCTAACGGACATTACAAACGTTACTGCTTGCAGACGATGCAAAAATTTGGAAAACAGTGACAAAACCTGAGTTTTCGCTGGCACTTTAGACAACACTCAGTGGTCAATTGAAAACGACATCGAATTCAATGCATGAAAATGTACGGTCGTATCCCTTCGCCAAAAAGCTCGATTTCCGTACATTCTCAACAACTTCCATATGTCTTAAATGAGAAGTATCTCGGTGTCAATGTGCAAGACAACTTAAGTTGTTCTTTAAACTACTCCAGGGCGTCCTACCCCCCTGTTGGTTTGCTAAAGCGAGTATTTGGCAAATTTAAACCTACGCTGTTTCCACGGTTGTTATTAACATACATTCAGCCTCACATAGAGTATGCAATTCAAGCGTGGAACCCATGGCAACAACTCGATCGGAATATTCTGGAAAGTCCACAAAGAATGGCCACCAAATCGGTCAAGGGACTGCCTTTTTCGCCCAATACTCACCAAGCACTCGTTCAAATTAGTGTTCCAAAACTGCCCACTAGAATGCTGGCGTCATTCATTCGCCCTCAGAGTGTGCACTGCTTGGAATTCTCAACCATCACACATTGTTTCTGCGCCCACAATCGATTCCTTCAAGCACAACCTTGATGAAGCTTTGACAAGTCTAAAATTTCAACATCCGTAGCAGTGCACGAAACAAGCATAAATTGTGATATTCGTCTACATTCTATGAACTGTGAATCGATTCATCTGTGCTAAACCCTATGGGACTAGAAAAGCAACCGCTTTTAAGTGTTTCCCATCATAAAACTTTGACTTTGAATACGCATTGCTTCTGTAGTGCGTTTCACCTGAAACAATAAAGGATTGTGGGCTGTATTGTTTAGAGAAATTTGGTTTTTGGACTTAAAACTAGTGTTAACGCACTGGTATTTCAAATTGCATTCGCAACAGTGAAGTGTCGAAAAAACAATGGTGTGACCCTGTCTGCGATGGAATATCTCAGGTATTTCATTAATTTGTAGCCCGAAATGTTCAGCTTCGATTGAATGAAATAAATGCACACTTTGGTATCAATTAAATTACCTACCCACCTGTTGACATTGCAAAGATTGGTTATCGATCGGTTTGATCATTTCTGAACTGGACTTATAGTTCTATAAAACAATTTATCTTGAGAAACGATAATGAGAGGCAGATTCAAGCCTTGTCTGGGAGTCAATGTGCTTTCTGAAAACAGCTTCGTTCTGGGATCACCATCGAGAACACGGATAACCGAACTCAGGTGATTGGTAAGAACCGACAGCCAATCAAGACGGTTTACAGTTCAGTTCAGTTTCGTATTTTGCACTTTCATATTCCGTTCTTGGTTAGAAGCGATCCAGTCAACGAATTCTTATGTATACGCGTTCCGAAACCTTTCATCTTCCCCAAAAAACAAGCACGCTTCTCTTTCAATAAGGGAATGCCTGCACACGTCCAGCTTTTTCTATTTCACTAACTGTGGAATCGCTATCTTGAGGAGAAAAGCTATCGGAAGACAACCATTTGTGAATCCAGTATCGAAACCATTGCGTGCAGTTACAGCAATTTGACGGCAGGGATTATTTCCACAGAATTCAATGATTGGAATTTAGTCCACTGAAACACCCAAATATTTTTTGTTATTCGAGATATCTTCCATTTTCCCGTGTTTAACTGTTTCACCCCCTTTTCACCCTATTCTGTGCTCCAATCTACCTGTCCCCTTTCATTGTTATTGTAATTATTACTGTTGCGTTGGCACCATGCTTGTCTACAAGCCGGTGGTATATATATATATATATATATCTGAAGCTGATTAATACCGTACTTCGGCAGTTCTAAATGTCGCCACCGATTCGGCTGGTTTGACCCTCAGTCCACTTCTGTGGATTTTTTACGGCTTGCATAACCTAAATATATTACGACGTATAGACCGGTGTTAACTTCAAATCGTGGTTCAAATGATGGAAGGGAACTTCCCGGATGGAATTGATCGCATTGCATAAAGCATGGAAGGCGTGTAAACGTTTGCGTAAACTAGATACCACGTACGACGAGTGATACACAGACTGTAATCTACCAAAAGCTCCCGAGATTTTTCATTTGAAGGCGGTGCGCGTTTGCCAAGGGATAGATTTGAAGTTGTTTTTGTTTAACATCCGGTGCCAGTGCATATAAAAGGTGAAAAGTGACCGTGGATTTTACCACATACTCTGGCATTGTGAATCGAGAATTTCGAACACTTCAACCTGCAGGTGATAATGGAACACTATAGTTCAACTGAATCATTTTTGTCTTCGAACTCAGGCCGCGGATGACTGAACGCGCTCTCTGAACATAAATGAACAAAATTCTGATGCCATGTTACGGAAGTTGACGGAGGAGTATCAGAGGCGGAAAAAGTTAAAATATGATTGAGTCTTTTTGAAAACCCAGAACAACAACAGTTGTATGCAATCACCAAGTTCATGCCCATCCACAGGGTAAAAGAAACCCGGTCAACGATTGGTTTTACCCAAATTGACATGAATTATAACCGAGGTTCTGAAGCGCGATTGTCCATGTCCTTTCATTAAACAGAGGCCGTTTTGAATGATTTCCTTTTGCGACAGAAACCATAATTTGGTGGAAGTTGACCTTTCAGTGAGAATCGAAAGAATACACGATTTTTAGATTAAATAATCTATCAGATGTACACAAAAAGAGCTTTTCATTGGGACCGATCTACGATATTCGCATTTCCCTGTATTGCACATCTTGGCGAATTGGTTAGCTAGCTTATCGAAACCAGTCGGAGTTGACATTTGCAGACGCAATCTATTGAACTAACTGCATTCGATACAAAATTTTGAAGAAAAGCAGATGTCCTAACTTGACCCTACCTCTCTTTTTACGAACTTAATTATAAAAGAAAAAACAATTTGTTTGTTCGAATTTATACATAAAATAATCTTTGGGAGGGCATTCCACTGAATGAGCTGATACAAATGTATGCACGTATTGTGTTCAGTTTCAATTCACTGGTGAAGTAGTATTCCGAAGGACTCGATCACAATTATTTGTCGATGACTCTACGGTAAAATCCGAGTTCGAAATCAGGCAGTGAACCTTATACGAAAAACACGTTTAATTCCGGTGTGGTAGATGCAAATCGTTTGCTAGACGATTTCAGCACTGTCCATTACAACGCAAATTTTATTCAAGGAGAAGAAATCACAATCCTGTGCAGGAAATTTCAACAAAACCTTATTGAATGTTTTATACATATTAAATGTGTTTCTTGCACAAGGAACTTCCTAAATCTGTGTCAACCCGCTTTCGGTATAAGCACTTTCCTGCACACACCACCAGGTATAAAAACAATGCCCCCCTCCCCCTCATTCTCTTGCCCGCATTTTAGCGAACCGAGGAACCAATTATTCCTGGTCTGGGGAACGTCCCATATGTTCGTTTTTTTAATTAGTATCAGCGTTTCAGCTTTTTCTTCAGTTTCAACTTTATCCCCGTCAAAAATATATCCTTCGGGCGCGTGAAGTTTATTTCAACTTAGCTTGTTACAAACAGAACGGACGAAACAGAATTGAATCCCTTTAATAATAAATTGTCAACAGTTTAATTAGTTTTTCCATGTTTACCGACTCCGAAGTTTCCGACGTTTTATTGAGATCGTCCCTTAAGTGTTTAATGTGATCAAGCGCCGACGGTCTTGACAGATGACGGGCTGAAGCGAGCACCATGATAAATTTCATTTTACTGGACGTTTCGTTCTTTAAGGTAAATACTGATCTTATATCTAAGTAAATCCTCTAGTTCTTTTAATAGCCTTAGATAAATCATTCTCACTCCTCGACAAGTAACCTGAAAAATAATTTGCTCCTTTTGGGCAATCATTCCACAAAACCGTGTCTTTGGACTGCATCTGGTTAAATTCTGTGTTTACAAGCAGGATTCTGGGCGCCAGCAGGTCAATTTGCGCGTACAATATCTTGGTAACCGAGGGTGAGACACACTGAGAGATATGGTTGGATTTTGTAAACAGTGGCGTTCGTGCATCTTCTCAATTTCTCTGCATCA